TTGTCTTCATAGTCATCCTCAACTTTATGCCAGAAGTAAATGCATTTGCAAAAGAAGTTGCCCCAATACCAGTTGTTATCGTATTGGCCATTACTGGAATAAAGGATGCATATGAAGATTTTTGCCGTTATCGTGCGGATAAAAAGGTCAACAATGCGCTTTGCCAGGTGTATTGCCCGTAAGTCTTGTTTTATTCAATCATATTGTGTTGATTCTATTATAAAAAAATTTAAATTTATATATATACCTTTTTTTACGCTTCGTACTAATTATAGTATCCCACAAGTCCATATATAACTCGCGGCAGTTTGTATTTAGCTTTATGCGTAATGCAAAAATGTAACCGACATTTCTACATTTGGCTTGCTTTAATTTTTTCATAACCTGGTATATTGAATACAATTTATAGAGATCTTTCGTTCACGGTTGTGCGTCTAACCCTTTTTTACTGTATGAATCTGAATACAGGCCGTCTCTATAAAGAATATTTCACATATGTTAGTTAATTTACAAAAATGGTGCTTTTTGCGGACCTTTTAAATAAAATGTATCAAGTGGAGTTCTACAATACGGTGAGAACGTGAAATTCCCAGTCTTTAGAATCCAGTTTCATTAATTTTTTAGGCACCTTGGCTGTAGCCTATTTCCCACATATGCTTATACTGTTGAATGAAACAGGAATCTTAGGGCTTCCTCTATCCCTTGGATTTTTATCGAGTACAAGGACTTATCTTGCATTTTTATAAAGTGGAAGCTAAAAAGAAGATTAATTTTTTTTAATGCCATACCATAAGCCTACTTCTCTTAATTATCTTGTTTCTAATTACGGAATAAGTCTACTATTTTCTATTAAAATTTAATTTGCCCTTTTATATTTTTCAAATCCACTTCATATAATTGTGCTTAAGGAATGATCGCTGTTATGTCAAAGACGAATGGAGTCTTATCAGGCCTGGAGATTTTGTTCGTCTTCATGCCAATGAAGTGATTCCAGCCGATATTCTCGTCTTGAGCAGTTCGGATCTTTCTGGCATTTGTCATATAGAAACCGCCAATTTGGACGGGGAAAATAACTTGAAACAGCGCGAAATAGTCAAGATAGCCTCACTTGAAGTAAGTTTCGTATAATTGCTTAAATTGTATCTTCTCTGCTTCTTAACGAATCGATTCATTTTGTCATATTTCGATGTATTGTGTGGATCCTGTCCTAGGTAAGAGGACCCAATAAATGATTAACAGGTATGCGAGTGGAACATCTTACGGATATATAATAACGG